CTTGGTGGGGTTGGGAACACCAGCTCTGTGTTCCCAGCTCCTGGCATGTATTGTATGGTGCTTTCCCGTTCCCCATGGAACTGACTACAGGGACAGTGTTCCCCGTGGAACCGAGTACAGGGACAGTGTTCCCCATGGAACAGTGCAGAGACAAGGCCTGGAACTCGCTGTCTTGGGTGTCTTAGTGTCTAGTGGGAGCTGGCACAGAGCAGGTAGTTGGTAAGATTTACTGAATGAATGAGTGTGCCAGAGAAAGCTGGCCAGGGCTTTAAGACTGTAGGGAACACCCCCAAGCTATAGAAAAAGCCCATTTTATAATGAAGTACTCAGGAATGTGACCTGTTCCTGTCGCTTCTCTCAACACCCGGGAATGCCAGAAGCAGGAACATCAAAAGGCGGTGGCCTGTTTCCCGGAAGTCTTTGGGGAGTGTGGGGTGCTGTCTTCATGGTTGACAACTCTTCAGGGGGAGATCGATCATTCCTGGAGAGCAGGAGCTGGAGAGCCCATCTCACTCCAAGGCCTGGGCTGTGTCAATCAGGGACATTGACTACATGGCCCAGGTCAGGAGCCTGGGTCTGGTCCCAACCTTGCACCTGACTCCAGGTGACTATGAATAGCTCTTGTCCCTTCTTGAGGCCTCAGTTTCCCAGTCTGTAAAGGAGGCTTGGTCTAGAAGGCTTCTAAGGGCCTCTGCAGCTTGTGTGGCCTCTGCTTCTGTCACTTTGGGGTTGGAAACCTCCCCTGACATCCCAGAATTCCCTTCATGACTACTGTCATTCACATGAACATAAATTCATTGTAGAATTTCCTGACTCTACTTATAATTTCAGCTCTCTCTTGGGAGCTTGAAGTTCCAGAAGCTTATAAGGCATGTACAAGTCCATGCTTCTTCATAAAAACATTAAGAAGATCATGCGCTTCCAACCAGGATGGGGGAACACTTTCACAGGCTCCCTATGAGAAAAAGCCAGGAGAAGTGAATGGAACATGGACTGAGTAGACAGACCTGGTCTGAATTCTAGCTCCGCCACTTCCCTGCTGTGTGAGGGTCCCTTAACTTCTTGCCCTCAGCTTCCTCATCTAGAAATGAAAATAAGTGTGTACTCCTTGGCGTTGCTGGGTTGCTGTCTCTGGACAGTTTCTGAGAAGGAGGTCTCATGCAGCAAGCATCCTCTGTTACAAAATGAGGAGCCCAAGGACCAATGAGGTCCCTTAGAAACCTTTGCAAAAATCTAGACTGCTGGTGTGCAGGTGTGGGCCACGAGGGCAATGCTAACATTCCTTTAGAAGTTTGAGGCTGGGTGCAGTGGCTCAACGCCTGTAATCCCAGCACTTTGGGAGGCCGAGGCGGGTGGATCACCTGAGGTCAAGAGTTTAAGACTAAACCCCGTCTGTACTAAAAATACAAAAATTAGTGGGCCATGGTGGTGGGTGCCTGTAATTCCAGCTACTCTGGTGGCTGAGGCAGGAAAATTGTTTGAAACCAGGAGGCGGAGGTTGCAGTGAGCCAAGATAGTGCCACTGCACTCCAGCCTGGCACCTGGTGACAGAGCGAGACTGTCTCAAAAAAAAAAAAAGTTTGAGTTGACCGTTATTGCTGAGGCCCAGTTCTAGGGTTGGAGAAAGTAATGGTGTTGCATCCTGCAGGTTAGGCAACCAGGCTGGGTTAGAGTTACTTAGAAGAAGGGGCTTTCGGCTGGGCGCGGTGGCTCAAGCCTGTAATCCCAGCACTTTGGGAGGCTGAGACGGGTGGATCACGAGGTTGGGAGATGGAGACCATCCTGGTCAAAATGATGAAACCCCGTCTCTACTAAAGATACAAAAAATTAGCTGGGCATGGTGGCGCGTGCCTGTAATCCCAGCTACTCAGGAGGCTGAGGCAGGAGAATTGCCTGAACCCAGGAGGCGGAGGTTGCAGTGAGCCGAGATTGCGCCATTGCACTCCAGCCTGGGTACCAAAAGTGAGACTCTGTCTCAAAAAAAAAAAAAAGAAGGGGCTTTCATGAAAGGGCCTGGAGCTCAGAGATGGGGGTGTGGAGGGCTCCAGGCTCCTGCTGGACTCTGGCTTCCCAGTGGTCCATTGAGCACCTGGAGAAACAGGCTCAGAGTGGGGATATGCCTCACCCTGGAGGCACCGCCACCTAGAGAGGGGCCTCCAGCCACATGCCGATGCGTTTGCCCACTCCTCGGGACCCCCACCTTCTCCTCTTCATCCACTTAAAGAAGCAGTTAGGGGTCAAAAAAGAAAAAAAGACTCAGCTTGTATAAAGCCATCACACCTCTGTGTTGTGTATTGTCACACGCCAAGGGTGTGGCTCTCGGGGCTGGAACCCAGCCAGTATCTCTTGAGGAGCTGACTCACGGAACTGACTCATGCATTTAGATATGACTTCTAGTCTGATTTCCTAGAAAAAACACTCCCAACCCTCATTACTTCAGCCCCACTTTGTGCACGCAAGAACGAGCTCAGGGAAGATGTCACAGGCAGCCACTGATCAAACCCAAATCCCATGGGAAACCGTAAATTAGAGAATATTGAGGCAGCACCAGTGCCCCTCAGAGCAAGATGCTGAGCAAGGGAGGACAGGCACCCACGGGCAACAGGAATTTGGGATTGGGACTGTACCATCGCATTCGAGATCTGCTGCAACCTTATATGTAAGTCAGCCACAGCCATCCACTTACTGACTCAAGTTCATACACCAATTCACTCACATCCTTTCATTCACTTATTCAATCCCAGGCTTCCACTGTGTGCCAGGTGCTGGTGCCAAGAGGAAAAACAACTCCTCCCCTAAAGGAAGTTTTCAGGATGTCACGTCCATCATCCCAGCCCTCCCCTTTCCAGGCTTCCTGAGCCCAGTTCAGGTAAGACCAAGCCCAGCAGCCCTGCCGTACCACCACTGTCCAGGAGGCGGCAGCAGACAGGCCCAGAAAAGCTCAAGGGTTGACAACCCAGCAGTGGGAGGAGGAGGGCAGGCAGGTTACCTGCAGAGGACGTCCTTCCCTGTTTTCTGGAAAGGACCAGATACCTGAAGCTGGCCACAAGGGAGCGTGATGGTGGGCGCCTGTAATCCCAGCTACTTGGGAGGCTGAGGCAGGAGAAACATTTGAACCTGGGAGGTAGATTCACTGTCCCCTTGTCTTTGTGAATTAGCAAGGACATTTGGTTACAAGTAATAGAAGGCCCTGGCTTAGATGCTGGGGGAGGAAATATAATTTCTCAACCCCCAAATGTTCATAGTAGGGACAGATCCCCCTGTAACAAAAGACAGATTAGCAAGAGAAAAACAAGTCTATAACCTGCACTGCGCAGATCATGAGGGAGAAACCTCAAAGAAAGCTGACGGTGCAGTGGCTTAGGACTCTGGCTTAGAGAGCATCTTCAATAAAGAACAATAAATTTTAGGCCGGGTATGGTGGTTCACGTCTGTAATCCCAGCACTTAGGCCCAGGCGGGCAGATCACTTGGTCAGGAGTTTGAGACCACCCTGACCAACATGGTGAAACCCCGTCTCTTCTAAAAATACAAAAATTAGCTGGGTGTGCAGCTACTTGGGAGGCTGAGGCAGGAGAATTGCTTGAACCTGGGAGGCGGAGGTTGCCCTGAGCCAAGATCATGCTGTTGCACTCCAGCCTGGGTGACAGAGCAAGACTTCATCTCAAAACAACAACAAAATTAGCAGGACATGGTGGCTCACAGCCCAGCTTCTTGAGCGGCTGAGGCACGAGAATCACTTGGCCTGGGAAGTGGAGGTTGCAGTGAGCTGAGATCACGCCACTTCACTCTAGCCTGGGTGACAGAGAAAGAGATTTTATCTAGCAAAAGATAATTTTAAAAGTGGGATGAAGCCGAGGCCTGGGGTGCAGCTGTGCCTGGAGGAGGGGCCGGGAGCAGGAGTTATCGCTTCCCGTCTTGGCAGCCCACGTGGCAGTGGCTGCTTTCTTGTCTTGTCCCAGGGCTTCCCTGTTCCTCAGACTGGGAAATGGGCCACAGCAGGTTGGAAGGTACCTGCTCCAGGCTGAGCCAGCCAGGGAGACTACTGAATTCCAGGGAGGGGGACTTGGTGGATCCGCTAGGCTTGGGTCTAACGTCTGACCTGGCACCAATAAGTGGTGACAACTGTGGGGACAATGCTAGTCAGTCACCAGGTGGCCTTGAGAGAATTGCTGGAAACTGGGAGACCCTCAATAACACAGAGCCACTGGAATGAGTTTGGGTGTGCAAGGCCAGGCACACAGCGGCTGTTTCTATACCCTTCCATGGACCACAGTTGCAGTTGGGTGACCTGTCAGCTCCAGCCTCGCTGCAACAAGAGATATCGGTTGGAGACCCTGCCCTCAGCCCCATGGCATTCCCCTTTCTTGTGCACTCAGCTTGATGGATTCCAGCCACAAGTACCTGCAACTCTGCCTCAGGGAACGGCCTCCACACTGGACTGATGAGAGGGAGTAGCTAGAGTCCCTGGCTCCTGCCTCTCGCAGGGGGACCAAACCTGAAGTGCATCCTACATGGACTTCCAGAGTTTTCCAGGGGCACTGAGGTCCAGCTGCCTACACCAGGGACCTGTTGATGACAGGCTTTGCCTGGGCTGCCGCCCCCATACCCCACCCCATCTTGCCTCCACAGTGTGTTACCTGGATCGCTGCACTGCTTTCTAGCTTTCTGCCTTTTCTCTGGGTTTGCTTCTGGGGACTCAACTCAAGACCCTTGTCGTCTTAACAGCTAGGTTTCCTAAGGAGAGGTGAGAAGCTTTTGAGAGACAAGAGCATAGGCCAGGCACAGTCACTCACACCTGTAATCCCAACCAACTCTTTGGGAGGCCACGGCGGGAAGGATCACTTGAGCCCAGGAGTTTGAGACCAGCCTGGGCAACATAGGGAGATTTCCATCTCTACAGAAATAAAAAAAATTAACCAGGCCTGATGGCACATGCATGTGCCACAGAGCGAGATCCTGTCTCAAAAAAAGGTTAAGTGTATATACTTTTCCATTCAATTATCCCTTTTTCTCTAAAAATAGAGCTCTTTATTTAAACACTTTAGGGTAATACCAACAAGCATTAGGATATCATTTGAATAGGATATAAACATAGAAAAATAGAAATAAATACAAATACGTAAGAACAACCTACACTGCTAGTCCTACGTTTTCACCGGATGTCTCTCCAGTGCGGGCCCAGCCCACACCACGCAGCTGCCACCTGCTGTGCACGTGAGAGCTTCATAACACTTACGTGCTGAGCACTCAAGGCAAAGTATTATACTGATTTTCATGCCCTTACCTAATGCTTCTCATGGCTTTTTGTGAATGACTGAATGACAATAAAGGAGATGGAATTGACAGTTACTAGAAAGCTCAATCTATGTCGGAAATTAAAATCTGGAAATAATTCTTTAAAAAAAAAATAGTAAGGTTTGGTCAGGCACGGTGGCTCACACCTGTAATCCCAGCACTTTGGGAGGCCAAGGTGGGTGGCTCGCCTGAGGTCAGGAGTTCGAGATCAGCCTGGCCAACGTGGTAAAACCCTGTCTCCACTAAAAATACAAAAAAAATTAGCCAGGTGTGATGATGTGCACCTGTAATCACAGCTACTTGGGAGGCTGAGATAGGAGAATCACTTGAATCCAGGAAGCGGAGGTTGCAGTGAGCAGAGACCATGCCACTGCACTCCAGCCTGGGTAACAAGAACAAAACTCTGACTCAAAAAAACCAAACAAATAGTAAGGTTTAAGAATAGAAACAGAGTGGTTATTTCATCCAAGCCTAAGATGATGCCGATGGTAGCTTTTCCTTTTTTGAAATTACTTCCACGAAGCAGCCTGGCTGCGTTCCAGAGAACATCAGTACAGGTCTGGGAATTTCCCTAGGAGCTGGCCCTGAGCCACAGCCATCCCCAGCTCCGAGGTTCGTTTGTTTTTCCTCTCCTGGGCTCAATGATGTGGACAAGCCTCACTGCAGGGAAAACCCCTGGGGAGACACAGGTGTGTGTGTGTTTGTCCATCCGTCAGTCCCAGCCGGGGTGAAGGCCTCCTGACCCTTAGAAATCGTGGCTGTGACCTTCATATTTTATTGACATGGCCAAGGGGTCAGAGGTTGGCCTGGCTGTGCAGAGATCGAAGCTTTCTCCTTTGGAGATGTGCACAGTAAGTCATCAGAGCAGCACTGCTGGGTGACTTGGGTAAGTGCCTTTGCCACTCTTGACCTCAGCTCCTTTGAAACAAGATAGGTGTTTGATTCAAAAACTGGTTTGCTAACTTTTTTTGGGGCGGTGGAACCTCTCTAAACAAAACCTCACGTGGAAAGCCGCAGTATGTAAATCAGGGCACAGTGAGGCTGCTCTGGTGACAGTGGCGAGGCTCCTAGAACCCCGCAGCACCACCTGCAACTGCCACCAAGGCCTTTGGGGCACATGGTTTGAGCCCTGGATAAGATGCCCTAAGAAGCTTTTCCAGTTCTGCCATTTAATGCTGTACACTTGTGGCGGCTTTAAAACAACACAGCTCTGCGGCTTCAGTGGCTTTGAAGATCCCTTCTTCACAAATCCAGAGACGTTAGTCCTGGCAGGTTGAATGGCCACAGAGCCAAGGTCGTTCAGATTCCCCACCACAAAACACTTTGGTCCTAAGGGCGAAAACTCAGCCATGCTCATTTGTATTCAGGTGGGTGTAGGTTAGCTGAGGATGCATCACCGCTGTATTCAGGTGGGTGCAGGTTAGCTGAGGATGCATCACCGCTGTATTCAGGTGGGTGCAGGTTAGCTGAGGATGCATCACCGCTGTATTCAGGTGGGTGCAGGTTAGCTGAGGATGCATCACCGCTGTATTCAGGTGGGTGCAGGTTAGCTGAGGATGCATCACCGCTGTATTCAGGTGGGTGCAGGTTAGCTGAGGATGCCTCACGCTGTATTCAGGTGGGTGCAGGTTAGCTGAGGATGCATCACCGCTGTATTCAGGTGGGTGCAGGTTAGCTGAGGATGCATCACCGCTGTATTCAGGTGGGTGCAGGTTAGCTGAGGATGCATCACCGCTGTATTCAGGTGGGTGCAGGTTAGCTGAGGATGCATCACCGCTGTATTCAGGTGGGTGCAGGTTAGCTGAGGATGCATCACCGCTGTATTCAGGTGGGTGCAGGTTAGCTGAGGATGCATCACCGCTGTATTCAGGTGGGTGCAGGTTAGCTGAGGATGCATCACCGCTGTATTCAGGTGGGTGCAGGTTAGCTGAGGATGCATCACTGCCCTCAGGCAGGGACAGTCACCTGTAGAAGGCATTGGTTTCTATAAGGAGAATGAGGACTTCTGAGGATCGTGATAGTCAACAAGCGTCTAAAGTGCTGTCCAAACAGGGCTTATGGGCCTAGAAGTCCGATTCCTGCCATGTTGCTGTCCTGCTCCAACAAACTGGGCCCCTAGAAGGTGGAGCACTTTGTTCCTTCCCCGGGGAAGCAGGGTTCCCATTGCTGGGTAATGGCGGAGAGACCAGGGTCCCCTTGGGTGGGGCTCTGGCTTCTGAGAGCTTGATCTCCTGATGGGGAGGCAGTGAGGGTAGAAGGGGGATGAGACAAGCTGAATGGTGAGTGCTCTCAGTCACTCTGGGTTTAGGGGCCACAGGTGGGAGATGCCCAGGGGTCTCCTGGAGCCTGGATGGATGGAGAATTCTACCAGCTACCACATAGAGAGCACCAAGGACACAGAGGGCTCCGTGCTACACACGTCTGAGATCCCCTAGAACCCTCACCACACCCAGGTGTTAGCTGCAGACGAGGAAGCCGAGGTAGAGAAGGAAGGTGGCTTCCCCAAGATCACACCATCAGTGAACAGCAGAGCTGGGATTTGAACCCTTGTCTGACACTGAAAACCCTACAGTGCCGTGACTCCAAAGTCCAGGATTTGAGGACAGCCACCTTTCCCTTCCCATCCAAAACCCTCAGCCAACTGGATTTTAATCTGTGCCTAACCTAGGGGACCCATGAATCAAGAGGCTGAGCCCTGGGGTAGGGGAGCTCAGTGGCTGCTGGCAAGGCATAGGGTATTGCGGGTGTGCTTCCAGAGGTCCCAGGTTCCAGAGGGCCCCTTGCTGGTGTCCGCCCTTGATGTCTGCTGTGACCTGACCTCACCTGTTTCATGCTGTCCTGAGATAATTTTTCCCCCTGGCCTGTCACCCCACCAACCTCTGACCTCAGCCCACCCTGTGTCCACCCCTCTTGTAGCTCAGCCTAAAGCGGTGGGTCACAGGAGGGAGGGGCCTCTTATTGCTGAGCCTGGCAGACAAACCGCCGCTAGGTGGACACCCTGGAAGTGCAATGCCCCTCCGCCCTCCAGAGGAGGTATGGAGGCTTTCGAGTTTCTTGGGAAGCCCAGTGGTCCTCACAAAGGCAGCGGCATCAGAGTCAGTGGAAGCTGGGGGACAGCTCACCTGGCCATGTAATGCCCCAGTGTCTTCTCCTCAGTCCTCTGGGTGCTCTCAGCCCCCCAGCCGCCTGGACCGCTGTCCTCAATTTCTGATTCCCTCGCCTCCTCTTCTTCATCTTCCTCCTCAGGGCTGCTGTCCCAGCAGACGGTCAGTGTCCGAAGAGAAACTGGGAGCTCCCCAGAGACCAGATTTGGCGCTGGTGGTAAGGTGCCCCAGGTGGCCCAAGAGGAGAGGTCGTCTTTTGGGAGCTCTTCCAGGAAACCCGAGTCCTTGGAGAATTCAAGCGATGGGAGAGGCGCTTGGTGCCCGTCCCCACCTGACCCTTGGCCTGGCCCCTTTTCAGATAAATAGCCAGAAGACCCAGTCCTGCCCCAGGAGGAGTCCATAGTGCTGGCCCAGCTTCTGTCTGAAGAATCCCAAACAGAAGAGCCTTCGCCTGAGTCCAGAGGAGCCCTGGGCCTCCCTGAGTCCACCTCACCTGCCCCTGAGTGCTCTGGAACCTGGTGCTGTTGCCCCAGGAAAGAGGGTGGTTCAATGTAGGGCTGGAAGCTGACGCCATCTTCCATGTCCTCCTCCTCTTCCTCCTCTTCTTCTGCATGTGCCTTCGTCCGTCCTGCTTGCTGGGTGGCTGGGGCCCTGAATCTAGGCGTGGGCCTGACCCCTCTGGTCAGTTCCTTTTGGGGACAGAGGAGCAAGTCATTCAGGGATTCTGGTCTGCTGGGCTGAAAGGTTGTCACAGGGTGTGTGTGTCCAGAAAAGTCCTGATTTGGGGACGGGAGAGAAGAGCAGAAAATTTAGGCTTTCCTTCCCGAAGCACGATTATCTTCATTTAAATTCCCCTAGAAACAGACCTGAGAAAAGGATTCAAGTGTAAGTAGTTTCTTTGAGAGGTGATCCCAGGATGCACCAGATGGGAGTGGGGGGCAGCCCTAGGGCTCCTGGCACTTAATCCTGCTGGGGACTCAGGGAACCACAGGGGCACATGCACCTCAGAGCGATCCTAGGAGGGGGATGCTCCTGGGCTATTTACCCACAGTTCCGGTCCATCATTGCTGAGGGATGGAAGAGCTGGTGGCAGAGTCAATTCTCTGCCACTTAGTGCCTGCCATGTACAGGGGCAGAGTGGGCTCCAGAGGCCAGAGAAAGCCCACTGGGTGCAGGTGCTGGGAGCTGCCAGGCCAGCGAGTGTGCTCTTAACAGGAAGGCTGAGGGCATGGGACAGGGCACAGATATGTCTACCCGAGCCTGTCATCTCCACAGTTAGTGGGGTTCTCCCACAGGCCCCGGAGCTGGGAAATGTGGGAATGCTCCCCTTGCCACCCTGCCATGCTGCAGGGACACTCAGAACCCATCCTCAAAGCCCCCATGCCCATCAGAGCCTTGCCTATGCCCAAGCTGCACCTGCTAGCTCTTATCTGAACAGGGCCAACCCATATCACCTCCTGGGCTTCCCCTGCCCCAGCAGGCCCCTAGATTCTAAGAGAGAGACCCAGCAGAGCAGGGAGGAAACGCCAAGGTCAGCCAGGCACAGCTCATCCTGGGATAAACTGTGAACTAAAAATTGGGACCCTTTTAAGACATCCCCTTTGGTGCCTTCTCTCCTCCTCCCCTCTGGTTATCTCTTCTGAGGCCCAAGGCTGGGGGCTTGCTCCCAGCACCTGACACATCCCAGCAGAGGTGAAGTTATTTATCTTAAAAAAACTTAAGGCGCTCCTCCCTCCTGGGCCTATTTGCTATTTTATTCAGGACTAAATGCATGCATTACTAATGGTGGAAATTCAGAAACAAAGATAGATATTTTGGTCCTAGAGTCTGGACCATTTTGATATTCTATCTGAATAACTCATAGCTCCAGCCCCAGCCCCTTACTGTCAACCCCTCCCCACCTGCTGCACACCCCCAGATTTGCTATACCAGGGCGCGTGGCATCTTTGCCCGCTGAAACCAGGGATTCCCCACGAGGCTCTTCCAGATCACACCCCCTGTTGCAATTGCTAACAGCAGTAGCAGAAGTGATGGCAGCACCAGGATAACCCAGTTGGTTTCTAAGGAAGGAAAAATAATAGTGAAAGAAACAACAATGGCTCTTGCTTACAACATGTGCTGAGTGCTTCAGGATCATTACCCCATTTAATCCTCACAAGAATAAACCCATTCTACAGACTGTGCAAACAAAGGCTCGGGGCATTATGTAAGCCTCCCGAAGACACACAAGGAGTGTGGTTTTAATCCAGGTGAGTCTATCTCTAGGCTCATGCTCATAACCATGGTGTCACAAAGCTCCCAAGGTCCAGAGGGAAAGTTCCCGCTTCCGCACCACTTAGTACCCACCTGGGACCTCCAGCAAGAAGCAGGCGGGCTGAGAGAATTCGCTGTATTTCGGGACACTGAAGGTGTAGATGGTTCTGGCACTTACGCAGTGGCGTTCGCCGGCGGCTGGCTGGAGGGTGATCTGGACTGGCTGGCCATGGGGAGTGACTGGAAATAGGGTCTGTTTGGAAAAGAAGCAGAGAGTGGCAGAACTGCATGGGGATTGGTTTCACAGCCAGGAGAGAGTGGGGTTGGCCGATGCAGTAGTGTTTCTTTTTTTTCAGGCAATAGGGTCTGGCTCTGTCACCCAGGCCAAAGTGCAGTGCTGTGATCACAGCTCACTGCAGCCTCAAACTCCTGGGCTCAAGCGATCCTCCCACCTCAGCTCTCCAAGTAGCTAGGGACTACAGGTTCACACCACCATACCTGGGTAATTTTTATTTATTTATATATTTTTTGAGATTGAGTTTTGCTTCTTGTTGTCCAGTCTGGAGTACAATGGCGCAATCTTGGCTAACCACAATCTCTGCCTCCTGGGTTTGAGTGATTCTCCTGCCTCCCACTCCCAAGTAGCTGGGATTACAGGCATATGCTACCATGCCCAGCTAATTTTGTATTTTTTATAGAGATAGGGTTCCCCCAAGTTGGTCAGGCTGGTCTCGAACTCTTGACCTCAGGTGATCCACCCGCCTTGGCCTCAAAGTGTTGGGATTACAGGCATGAGCCACTGTGCCTGGATAATTTTTTAAAATTATTTTTGGTACAGGCAAGGTCTTGCTGTTGCCCAAGCTGGTCTCTAACTCCTGGCCTTAAGTGATCCTCCCTCCTTGCCCGAACCTTCTATTCTTTTCCTGCATTAAAGTTTAAGGATTGAGGAAGCACTTCCCAACACTACCTGAGTTCTTTTCAGCTGAGTCTCCAGGTAGGGATAGCCATGGTTCAAAAGCAGCCTGCCACTTGGGGTCACCCTGGCCTGCACCCCATTAGGGTCTGCCTGTGGGTCCCTACTTTGAGAAGCAGATTCCTTGGGCTTCCCATCTTAGGGTCTCCCAGTCTATCGGGAGTGGAGGAAACCTCTACAAATGCTGCACCGCCTGGTACAGAAGGCACTGGCCACGTGTGGCTGCTGAGCATGTGAAATGCATCTGGTCCACACTGAGAGGTGTTCCAAATACAAAACACACATCGGATTTCAAAGAAGCAGGGAAAAAGAATGTAAAAGATCTCAATCATTTTTATCAGGATTGCACACTGAAATGATGCCATTCTATTGGATGAAGTAAAATCTGTTATTAAAATTTGATTGACTTGCCTCTTTTTACTTAATGTACCATGGAACGCGTAAAACTGCACATGTGGCTTGCATTGTATTTCTTTCTATTGATCAGTGCTGGTCTGGAATATTTATGAGGTTCTTGAAGGCAGGAACCTCACTGGATTGAGATCTACACTCCCTGGAATCCAGAGGATGCAGGGGATCAGGAGTGTGAGCGCTGCCTTAGCGGAAGCAAGAACAAACCGGAGTAAGGGGCCGTGGACCAAACCTGGCTGGCCATTTGGTTATGTAAAAAAGTTTATTTTTTATTTTTTTGAGACAAGGTCTCACTTTGCTGCCCAGGCTGAACTGAAGTACAGAGAAGTGATTATGGCTCACTGTAGCCTCTACTTCCTGGGCCCAAGAGATCCTCCTGCCTCAGCATCCCAAGTAGCTGGGACCACAAGCATTCTTCACCATACTCGGCCTTTTTTTTCCAAGTTTTTTTTTTAGAGATGGTGTTTCACCATATTGCCCAGGCTGCTCTTGAACTCCTGGACTAAGGTAATCCTCCCACTGCAGTCTCCCAGAGTACTGGGATTACAGGCTTGAGCCACCGCACCTGGCCTGTAAACAGTTTTACTGGAACCCAGCGATGCCCATCCATTTACAGATTGGCTACGGCTCCTTTTGGGCTCTAACTGCAGCGCTGAGTCATCCTGAGAGAACACAGGGCCCACAAAGCCAAAAATATCCACTATCTGGCCTTGCCATAAATAAATGCAGATATACACGCATGCATACACAGAAAACAATCTGAAACTGGATAAGCACCAGAGTGATGTGTGGTCATCTCTGGGTACTTTTGGTTTTCTTCTTAGAGCTTATCTGTAGTTTTTAGTTTTTCTCTACTGAATCTGTTGACTTGGCAAGCAGGCCTCTTGTAGGTCGTCATACTTTGATCAGATTTTATTAGAAGAAAAAAAGGAAAGGTTAATAATTTTTAAAATGGCCAGGCACAGTGGCTCATGCCTGTAATCCCAGCACTTTGGGAGGCCAAGGAGGGTAGATCACTTGAGGTTGGCAGTTCAAGACCAGCCTGGCCAACATGGTGAAACCTGTTTCTACTAAAAATACAAAAATTAGCCTGGCATGGTGGTGCACGCCTGTAATCCCAGCTACTCAGGAGGCTGAGGCATGAGAATCACTTGAACCCGGGAGGCAGAGGTTGCAGTGAGCCGAGATAGTGCCCCTGTACTCCAGCCTGGGCGACAGAGTGAGATTCCATCTCAAAATGATAACAATAATAATACTTCTTAAAAATATTAACTAGCAAACTGCTGTGTGCTTGGCCTCTGTACTGTGCCGGGGCAGGATGCTCTCCCTGTTCTTAGTTTCTTCGGGGGACAAAGGCAGGGTGAGCCACAGGCCAGTCACACTGTGTACAAGTCAAGGGCTGACTACCAGGAGTCAGGGGTGTACAGAGAAGGCTTCCTGGAGGAGGCGAGCAGGAGCAGGCTGGGAGGGTAAGGAGAACCGAAGTGTGAATTGGTGGAGAAGGGGGCCTAGCCTGGGGGCAGGAAAGGAGCTTCCTACCTTGTTTCTGGCCTCTTCCTTCCAGAATGCCACCTCATACTTCAGATCCAGTAGGGGCATGCAGGGGGGCAGCTGGTAGGTGGCATTGACACTCAGGATCTCCTCCGTCTGGGTGAGCACCAGGAGAGGTGGGGCCGGCTCCACTGCAGAAACAGAGCAGGGCCGGTCAGTAATCCCGAGGGGCCATGCTGCCTCCATCCCCCCAGACCAGAGAGCTCTCTTGGAAATGGAAAAGCAACCAGCATGTTTCAAACACTTCCTGTGCACCTAGCACCTTAGAACCTGTTATTTCAGCCTTGCACTGACCCTGGGAGGGAGGTATCACTATTCTCATTTCATAGAGGGGAAAACTGAGGCTTAGAGAGGAGAGGTGACCCGGGCAGGCTCATCGCTGACCTGGCTTCACTCATGCCATCCCTTCCACCTGGATGCCCTTAACATGTCACTGGCCTGGCAGATCCTGCCCATCTGGGTGCATTTCCTGTTGCAGCCATGACAAATTACCACACACAGAGTGGCTTAAAACCATACACACTTATGATCTCACAGTTCTCTAGGTCAGAAGTCCAGGTGGACCCGGCTGGTTCCTCTGCTCTGGGTTGTCAGCAAAACTTAGTTCTCTGTGGCTGTAGGACTGTGGTCCCTGTTTCCTGGCCAGTTGTTAGTGGGAGCCTCTCAGCTCCGGAAGGCACCTGCATTTCTCATCACATTGCCCTTCCATCGTCAAACCAGAAACCGCACCATGGCCTGCCACTTTTCTTCTGCTTCCAACTGGAGAAAGTTTCAAGGGCTCATGGGATTAGACTGGGCCCATCTGGATTATCCAGGATAGCCTCACTATTTGAAGATCTCAGTCCATTTTGTGTTGCTATTACAGACTGTCACACACTAGGTAACTTACAATGAACAGAAATGTATTTGGCTCATGGTTCTGGAGACTTGGAAGTCCAAAAACATGGCACTGGCATCTGGTGAGGGCCTTTGTGCTGGCCTTCCCAAGGCGGAAGGTGGAGGGTAAGAGAGGGGGAGAGTGAGCCGGGAAGAGAGGGCAGAACTCACTTTTCTTTTCTTTTCTTTTTTTTTTTTTGAGACAGGGTCTTGCTCTGTCACCCAGGCTGGAGTGCAATGGGGCAATATCGGCTCACTGCAACCTCTGTCTCCTGGATTCAGGAGCTCCTTCTGCTTCAGCCTCCCGAGTTGCTGGGATCACAGGCATGCACCACCACTTGCGGATAATTTTTGTATTTTTTAGTAGAGACAGGGTTTCACCACATTGGCCAGGCGGATCTCAAACTGCTGACTTCAAGAGACCGGCCAGCCTCGGCCCCCCAGCATGCTGGGATTATGGGTGTGAGCCACTGCACCTGGCCAGAATTCACTTCTCTAACAATCCATTCTTGATAAACACACTCCCGCAAGACTGACGTTAATCTATTCATGGGGGCAGAACTCTTAAGGACTAAGTCACCTTTTAATAGTGCTGCTTCTTAATGCAATCACAATGATGATTAAATGTCAACATGAGTTTTAAGGGGCCATTCAAACCATAGCAGTCTATAGCTTTAATTAAGATTCCCTATTGCCATGCAATACTGACATCTGACATATTCTCAGCTGCCAGGGACTGGGGCGAAGCACCTTTAGAGGCTCATTCTGCCTACCATGGTCCTCCCGCTGCCCCCACCCCAAATCCATATCTCTTTCAAATGCAAAACCCATTCCCTCCATCCCAATGTCCCCCACGATCTCATCTCCTTATAGTATCAACTCAAATTCCCAAATGAACAGTATTTAGTATTTAAATCAGAGTCAAAGAGACCCTGGGCGTTGTCCAACAGTATAACTCCTGGGCACAGTTTCTCTCCATCTGTGGGCCAGCAAAACTACAGTTATCTGCTTCCAACCATAAAATGTGGGACAGGCACAGGATAGCAGTTCCAGATAATCTGGCTCAAGCATGGGGAAATGGAAGGGACAATGGAGTCATGTTCCAATGCAGCTTGAAAATCCAGCCAAGAAAACTCCATTAGGTTTCAAGACCTGGGAAAAATTATCTTTGGCTCTTAGCACTGCCCTTTGAACTTCTGCTTTCACTGTCTGAGTCATACTTCCTTTTTGCTAAAGGTAGCAGGTATTCGCAGCTAAGTAGTTTTTTCAGTGTGCATCTCACTGAAAATGGACAGTCCAACAGCCTTCTTTGATTTCATACCCTCTGTGTTCTATTTAGCCCAAGCTAACAGTGTTTCTATGGATGTAAAGTTCTCAGGAACTTTATGGGTCTCCTATGAATGTCATGGGGGAATCCACTGCATTATTGGATAAATCCAGGTCCACAAATCTTTTTTTTCAGATAAACCTTCTCTACTTTGGCTCCAGCTGACATGGCTGAGGGACAATGCTCTTCAGCTTCCTAGAAGTCCCCTGGTTTGATTTAAGGGCACTGTGAGTTATACACTTAATCTCTTCAAAGAGTCTTTTAAGTGACTGAGTACTTTGATCTTTGATCTTCCTGAGGTTTGGTACAATCATACACTTGGCTGTTTCTCTATGTAGCACTTTTGGGAGCAATTTTTGTTTTTTTTGAGATGGAATCTTGTTCTGTCACCCAGGTTGGAGTGTAGTGGCGTGATCTTGGCTGGCTGCAACCTCCGCCTGTTGGGTTCAAGCGATTCTCCTGCCTCAGCCTCCTGAGAAGCTGGGATTACAGGTGCCCACAACCACACCCAGCTAATTTTTGTATTTTTAGTAAAGACAGGGTTTCACCACATTGACCAGGCTAGTCTCAAACTCCTGACCTCAGGTGATCTGCCCAACTTGGCCCCCCAAATTGCTGGGATTACAGGCGTGAGCCACCATGCCTGGCTACAATCTCTTAATTTTATTGTTTTTTGCATAAGTTGAGAACTTCAGTAATCCTCAAGTCCTAGTTCCTTTCTGTTTAAATTCTTCCCTCATTTTCTCTCTCTCCTCTTGCATTTTACTAAAGGTGGCAGGAAGAAACCAGGCTGTGCCTTCCACATTTTGTTTGGAAACCTCCTCTGATAAGCACTCAAGTTCATCATTTACGAGCTCTGCTTCCCACATGACTGCAGGACACAATTCTGCTAAGCTTTCTGCCAATACGGAACAAGTGTCTCCCTTTCTCAAGTTTTCAATAATGTGTTCCTTACCTTGTGAAGCAGTGCCTTGAGTATCGGGGTATCTACTAACAGGCTCTTCACAATGATTGAGGTAATCTTGGAGGGGTATTTTCTCTATAATGCTGCTTGTTTCTTTCTGCACTCTGAGTCTTTAACTTCCATATTCCTACTGACAGTCTGTTGAGGGCCCTCTAGTCTTGTCCAATGGTTTGAAGATGGAGAGGGCAATGTGAAAAGGGATATGGCAGCCAGAGAAAACTAATACACCATCCTTCAAGTTCTAACTAAAATGCCACTTCTCCCATTCAGCCTTCCCTGATTCCCAGCCAGCAGGGATCTCTGACCACACTAGTCACCTCTGCCCTGTGTTTGTGGTCAAGTTAATCATGTGGCTTCCTCATGATGCCATTACTTACATGTTTAGGTAACATCTCCTGGGTACTACTAGGTATAAGCTTTGGGAAGGGAGATGACCAGAATGGGGAGATGAGGCCTCCTTGTATCCTAACCTCCAGGTCAGGATAAGCTTTAGGGTAAATGAAATATGCAAACTACCATAGTGACCAAGGCCACAGATGAGAGCAAGAAAAGTGTGGAGGAAGTGCAAAGGCAGGAAGAGTCACCATGACTTGGGATATGGGGCTGAAGAATCAGGAGAAATTCAGGGAGGAGGCAAACAATTAAAACATTTTAAATCTCTTTGTGTCTTTCCCTTTATTCTTCTAATGTCTTAGTCCTATCCATCCAATTATTGTGGTTTGTCCACCATCCTTCTAGCCAGACAGCCTTCCTGTCTGCCTTCTCATCCTTCGTTTCCTTCCCATCCATCCATCCATCCATCCCAGCTTCCCTTCCTTTCCCCTCAATCACCCTTTCTAACCAATATCTTTTCCTTCCTATGCCTCCTTTCTAATTATTCATCTATACTTCCTCCCTTTTATCTAGCAGGCCAGCCTCCTTAGCTACTCTCCATTCTTCCCATCCATCCATTCTTCTTTTTTATCTTTCTACACATCCTTCCTCCTTGTCTCGCCTTCCTTCCTTGCTTCTCCTGCGCTCCAGCCCTTCCTTCCCTTCCCGGATGTCCCATTTTTCTTCTATATTATCTACCCACCCATCTCACACACCCATCTGTCTTTCCTTCTACCTTCTGTGATGGTTAAATTTTTTTTCTTTCAGATCTGTCACCCAGGCTGGAGTGCAACAGAACAATCATGGCTCACTGCAGCCCTGACCTCCCAGGCTCAAGTCATCCTCCCACCTTGGCCTCCCAAATAGCTGGGACCACAGGTGTGCACCACCACATCCAGAGATTTTATTCTTTTTTTTTTTTTTTGTAGAGATGAGTTCTACTTATGTTGCCCAGGCTGGTCTTGAACTCCTGGGCTCAAGTGATCTGCCTGCCTTGGCCTCAAGGGATCCTCCCACCTTGACCTCCCAAAGTGCTGGGATTACGGGTGTGAACCACAGTGCCTGGCCAGTGATGGTTGATTTTATGTGTCAATTTGACTGGGTTAAGGAATACCCAGGTAGTTGGTAAAAAATTATTTCTGGGCCCATTTGTGAGGATTTTCCCAGAGGAGATTAACATTTGAATCCGTAGACTGGGTGAAGATGTGTCCTCACCAGGGTGGGCAGGCATCATCCAATCCACTGAGGGCCCAAAGAGAACAAAAGATGGAGGAATGGCACATTCATGCTCTCTCTTCCCGAGCTGGCACATTAACTTTCCTGCCCTTGGACATCGGAGCTTCCTGTTCTCGGGCATTTGGACTCTGGGACTTATATCAGTGGACCTTCTGATTGTCGGGCTTGTGGCCTCGGACACCACTGCTCCCCTGGTCTTGGGCCTTCAGACCCAGATGGAATCACACCAGAAGCTTTCCTGGTTCTCCAGCATATGACTGCATATTGTGAATGTTTTTGTGTCTACAATTGCATGAGCCATTTCCCATAATACATCTCTTCTTATTATATCTTTTCTTTTTTTTTTTGAGATGGAGTCTTGCTCTGTCACCCAGGCTGGAGTGCAGTGGCATGATCTTGGCTCACTGCAACCTCCACCTCCCAGGTTCAAGCGATTCCCCTGCCTCAGCCTCCTGAGGAGCTGGGACTACATGTGTGTGCCACCATGTCCAGCTAATTTTTGTATTTTTAGTAGAGACAGGGTTTCACCATGTTGGCCAGGCTGGTCTCAAACTTCTGATTTCAAGTGATCCATCTGCCTTGGCCTCCCAAAGTGCTTGGATTACAGGTGTGAGCCACCACGCCTGGCCTCCTCTTATTATATTTATATATATCCCGTTGGTTCGGTTTCTCTGGAGAACCTTAACTAATACACTTCCTATCCTCCTCCATCTCTCCATCCACATGTATTTCCTTCCTAATAGGCATCCATCCTTCCATCCAGCCTCCTTCTTTCCCGTTTTCCATTGCTGCCTCCTCCATCCTCTCCATCCTCCCTTTCTTCTTACCCATCTGTCCTTCCCTCCTTTTATCCATCGGCCGAGACAGCTTCTTCCCACACGAATCATCTCTTCTTCCTTCTCCACCATCCTTTCCTGCTGCCCTGCAATCAGCCCCTCCCTCTTCTCTCTTAAAGCCTTGTTTTGCCCTTGAATGTTGTGAAAAGCCTGGGCAGCAAGTTACAGCTCTCAGCTCTCAGGGCACTGTCTGGGCATTTATCCTCCCCTTGTTACCCAAGGTCAGAAAGATCTAATTTATACCTATATCCACCGGTTACTAGAGGTGTATTCTGCCAAGTTTCTTAGCTTCTATGAGTCTTGGGTTGATGGAAATGAACCTCACAAGACTGCTGAGAAGATTAAAAACAGACTGAAACAAAAAGTGCTCTCCTCACCCAATGTCAACACTTGTGATTTCTGGCAGTAAGCATGGGACACTTTTTTCTACCTTCTTTACCACCCCCCGCCCAAATTTCTGCAGCCTACAGAAAATACTTTAGCATCCAGAATTTATTTATTTATTTAAAGACAGAATCTGGTTCTGTTGCCCAGGCTGGAGTGCAGTGGCATGATCTTGGCTCACTGCAACCTCCACCTTCTGGGTTCAGGTGAGTCTCCTGTCTCAGCCTCCTGAGTAGCTGGGATTATAGGCACCCATCACCATGTCCTGCTAATTTTTGTATTTTCAGTAAAGATGGGGTTTCACCATGTTGGCCAGGCTGGTCTCAAACTCCTGACCTCAGGTGATCTGCCCACCTCGGCCTCCCAAAGTGCTGGGATTACAGGCATGAGCCACTGTGCCTGCCCCAGAATTTGTTTTAAGCATTGATTTTAAGGAGAGAAGTTGAACATAAAAAATAGGAATAAGCATATCAAGTGACTTGTGTAGTCCATGTCCCAAATGGTCCTCAGCTGAAGATAATGAACATTGTTAGCAGAGGGCACATGTGAGATTGCTGGTGCTGGCTGGAGCACCCCTAACTCCCTGACAGGCTGCCAGACATGGCCCCGGGCCATTGCTGGTCCCACGCTCCATCTCAAAGCGGTTGGCCCCAGGGAGTTCCCCTCTGCTTTGGGGAAGTGGGAGATAGATGGTCAGGAGTGCAGCACCACTGAGTACAGCTCCTGGATGGGATGGAGAGCCTCCCACTCAGTCCCTTACAATAGACTTACCTTCAAAAAGGTAATCCAGGTATTTGGACTCCACCCAGGGGGACTTGGAGCTGGGAGAAACTGTCTGCACGCGCCCTTTGAACTTGTTGTACAGGTCCTGTTTCTTCAGGCACATCAGAGAACACACCAGCTCCTTGGTTCCTGCACACTTGTCAACTTTGCGCCACCATCCAGGGGTGGGAGAGCTGGGGAAGGAGACAGGAGAGCTTGGGCCATGGACTCAGCCTCTCAGGGTTGGGAACTTAGAGAACAGGTGATCACGTGTCCCACCATTTGGCTGGACTGCCCATAGGTCTATCTGTCCAGACAGGCAGACACTGGCTGAGATAGGATAAGAATAGCCTGGTCAGGAGCTCAGGTTCTGGAGCCAGACGGATGGGAGTGGGAATCCCAGCCCTGTCCCTCCCTTGCTTTGGGACTATAGGCAGGTCCCTGCTCCTAAGCCTCAGTTTCCTCATCTGTAATGCCTCTCTCACAGGGCTGTTGGGGTTGCTGCTATTCCTAGTACTAGTGACCATTACTATAAGTTTGTTCATTCAGGCTTTTATGGGTCACCTGCTGCATGCCAAGCACCATGATGGATACTCTGTGGGTGTCAGAGGGGAACATGCAGGTCCATGACTCCAACCTGGAGGCTTCAGAGAGCTGCCTGGCCCTTCCGTCTCTTCTGCCATGTGAGGACACAGTGTTTGCCCTTCCACTATGTGAAGATACAGAGAGAAGGCACCATCTGGGAAGCAGAGAGCAGCCCTTACCAGAACAGAATCAGGTGCCACCTTGATCTTGGACTTCCCAGCCTCTAGAACTGTGAGAATTAAATTGCTATTATTTATTAATAGCAATTACTAGAATTACCCCATTCTAAGGTATTTTGTTAAAGCAGCACAAATGGACTAAGCCAGAGACACAGGGGGTCTAACTCTAACGTGCTTTTGTTTTGTTTTTTGAGATGGAGTCTCACTCTGTTACCCAGGCTGGAGTACAGTGGCATGATCCTGGCTCACTGCAACCTCCACCTCCCAGGTTCAAGTGATTCTCCTGCCTCAGCCTCCCGAGTAGCTGGGATTACAAGTGCATGCCGCCACACCTGGCTGATTTTGTATTTGTAGTAGAGACGGGGTTTCACCATGTTGGCCAGGCTGGCCTCCAACTACTGACCTCAGGTGATCCACCTGCCTCGGCCTCTCAAAAGTGTTGGGATTACAGGCGTGAGCCACTGTGCCCAGCCTGACATGTTTTTACAAGCTCACTCTGGTCAACCAGCAAGGAGCCCACAGCAGAAAATACGACTACATACTCACTGGAATGGTTAAAATGAAAAAGACTGATAATGCTAAGTGTTAACAAAACACTTAGTATTCGCGGAACAGGATGATGGTGCAGACAGTGAGAAAGGGTCGGCTTCAGGATCTGTTTTGGAGGTAAGAATAGAACTAATAGAACTTGCTCATGGACTGGATGTAGAATGTGAGGAAAAGGAGAATCAAGGACTGCTCCTGGGTTTGGGGAGCAACCAGGGGTGAACGGAAAAGGTGAGAAGGGAGTTGGCATGAAGAACAGACTTTGGGGAAGAATCAATTCCTCTGTTTTGTTCTTCATGGAAAACATTATATTATGCAAATATTCACGTCAAAGGAACCAGTGTAGTTATATTAACAGGAGACAAAATACAGACTTCAAAGTCCAAAGCAACACTAAAGATGAAAAGAATCATTAGATAATGATAAATGATTCCATTCGCCAAGAAGATGGAAAACTTCTGTGTGCCTACCTAAACAGCTTCACCCTCTAAAGCAGACATAGACAAAGTACAGGTACAGAGTAGACAGCCACGCTTACAACAGGAAATTTTAATACCTCTCACCCAGTAATTGATGAATAGAAGAAGAAAAAGAAATACATAAAGAAATAAAGAGCAACACAGTTATCAAGTTGGTCTCATGAACATGTACAGAATCAACTCAACAAATTGGTTGAACCACATGTGAACGATTAACAAATATTAACACAAAGCAGTTCTCAAGAAATTTCGAAGAATAGGCCATACTTTATCTCATAAAGTATCTCCTCTGACTGCAAAAAATCCAGTTAAAAGTTAATAACAAAATAGAACTAAAGGAAGTTTGAAAATTTAAAAACGTATTTTGTTTTTTTGAGATAGGGTCTTGTTCTGTGACACAGGCTGGAGTGCAGTGGCGTAAATATACCTCACTGTAGCCTCTACCTCCTGGGCTCAGGTGATCCTCCTGCCTCAATCTCCCAAGTCACTGGGACCACAGGCACGTGCCACCACATTTTTTTTTTTTTCAAGACAGAGTCTTGCTCTGTCACCCAGGCTAAAGTGCAGTGGTGCAATCTTGGCTCACTGCAGATTCCTCCTCTGGGGTTCAAGCAATTCTCCTGCTTCAGCCTCCCAGGTAGCTGGGATTACAGTCACCTATCACCACACCCAGCTAATTTTTGTATTTTAGTAGAGATGGGGTTTTACCATGTTGCCCAGGCTGGTCTTGAACTCCTGACCTCAGGTGGTACATCTGCCTCAGTGTCCCAAAGTGCTGGGATTACAGGTGTGAGCCACCACGCCTGGCCCAGCTAATTTTTAAAAAATGTTTTGTAGATACTTTGTTGCCTAGGCTGGTCTCAAACTTCTGGCCTCAAGCAATCCTCCCACCTCAGCCTCCCAAAGTGCTGGGATTACAGGTGTGAGTCACCACACCTGGCCTTAAAAATATTTTTTAAAACAATTCAAACGAAAGAAGTAATTATAATGCAAATTAATAAATATCTGAAAGTGAATGATCACCAAACAATACAAATAAAAACATGTAATACAGACTGGACTCAAGATGGCGCTGTGAGAACAACCCAGGATTGGAGCTCTTCTCGTTGAATCCGCAAACGGGACATGGATGAATCTGGAGAACATCATCCTCAGCAAACTGACACAAGAACAGAAAATGAAACACCGCATATTCTCACTCATAGGTAGGTGATGAAAAATGAGAACACATGGACACAGAAAGGGGAGTACTAAACACTGGGGTCTATTGGGGGGAAAAGGGGCGGGCCAGTGGGAGGGGGAGGTGGGGAGGGATAGCCTGGGGAGAAATGCCAAATGTGAGTGAAGGGGAGAAGAAAAGCAAAGCACACTGCCATGTGTGTACCTACGCAACTGTCTTGCATGCTCTGCTCATGTACCCCAAAACCTATAATCCAATAAAAAATTAAAAAAAAAAAAAAACATGTAATACAGCTAAGTAGTACTTAGAGGAAAACATATAACTTCAAATACTTATAACAGAAAATAAAAAAGAATAGAAATTAGTAAGTTAAGCAATAAACGGTAAGAAGTCAGAAAAAACATGCCACTAAAACATATCCATGAACATATCAAAAATGAAACCTGATACTTCAAAATGGACTAAAAGACAGTAAAAAGTGAGGCAAGACATGAAAGAACAGCATAAAACCTAATTAGAAAAGCTCAGACACAGAAAAGAATTATATATATTTCAAAAAAGCAAAACTCATTTCAGAAGTGAAGAATAAATCAGAAGGAATATAAGAACAAATTAACACAATAAATAATGCCTTAAAAGAAACAGAAGGCAAGATGAAAGACATTTAAAAAAATACATAAAAGCTAAAATTCTAAAACTTCTAGAAGAAAACATAGAAGAAAAGTCTTCATGACCCTGGGTTAGGCGAATATTCCTTAGGACATCAAAAGCGTTAACCATTGAAGGAAAACAAATCTGATGTATTAGTCTTTAAGGGTTGGCACAGTAAAACGCCACAGGCTAGGTGGCTTCAGCAACAGAAATCTGGAGGTTGGAAGTCCAAGATCAAGACATCGGCAGGTTTGGTTTCTACTGAGGCCTCTGTCCTTGGCTTGCAGACGGATGTCTTCTTGCTCTGTCCACATGGCTGTTCTTCTGTGTGCGTGCACTCATGATGTCTTTCTCTTCTTGTAAAGACACCAGTCCTACTAGATTAGGGCCTACACTTATGATCTCATTTAACTTTACCTCCTTAAAGGCTCCTCTCCAAAGAGTCACTTAGAGATTAGGGCTTCAACATATGAATTTGTGGGGGAGGGTTCCCTAATTTAGTCTATAATACCTGATAAATTGGATTTTATCAAATTAAAAAAAATTCTCTTAAAAATAAAAACCCACCAAAAAGCCTAAAGAAAATGAAAAGGCCAGCCATTGGGAACACAAAAAAATCACAATACCTACTGATAAAGGACTCGTATTCATCGATAACTCAATACTAAGAAAACAAATGATCTTACAATTCAGGATGTGATTTTGGGTAAAGAAAAAACAAGAAAATAAAAAAGAAAACAAATGACCTAGGAAAAAGTGGACATTTGAATACTCACTTCACAAAAGATATATGAATGGCCAATAAGCACATGAAAAGATGTGCAACGTCATTCATCATCAGGGAACTGTAGATTAAAGCCATAATAAGATACTGCTATATACTCACTAGAATGGTTAAAATGAAAAAGACTGATAATACTAAGTGTTAACAAGCACATGGAGTAACTAGAACTCTCATCACATATTGTTGGTGGCAATGAACAATGGTACAGTCACTTGGGAAACAGTTCAACAGTTTCCTGTATACATTCATTACCTAATCTCCTAAATTCTACTCCTAGATCCATTTTCCTTCTCCCTCTGTCCCTCCAACCCATTCTTCTCTCCTTCCTCCCTTCTCTCTCTTTTTTTACAGACAGAATCTCACTCTGTCACCCAGGCTGGGGTGCAGTGGCGCAATCGTAGCTCGCTGCAGCCTAAAACTCTTGTGCTCAAGGGATCCTCCCACCTCAGCCTCCTGAGATGCCAGGGTTACAGGTGTGTGCCACCATGCCCGGCTAATTTTGAAAACTTTTGTGGAGATGGGGTCTCACTATGTGGTCTCACAGGCTGATACTCCTAGATCTTTATCTAAAAGAAATGAAAACATATTCACACAAAGACTTACATATGAATGTTCACAATAGCTTAATTCATAATAGCCCTATTATGGACTGAATTGAGTTGCCCCAAAATACATATGTTGAAGTTCTCATCCCCAGTGGTACTATACTTGGAGATAATTATGATTAAATGAAGTAATAAGGCTGGGGCCCTAATCCAGTAGGACTGATGTCCTTATAAGAAGAGGCGGA